TGGGGACTCCTGGGACCCGCGTCTCCCGACGCGCAGCGGGCGCGCTCCAGGCGGGGAGCGCCGCGACCCCCGGGGCAGACGCGGTAGGACGGCTCAGCCTCTCCCCTTCTTCCTCTGCCCGTCCTCACAGACAAAATAAACGCGCAGGAAACATCTCACCAGCACAGAACAACCAAAACATTCCCCGTTCTTATTAAGTTATATAGTAGAAAATTTGGACAATACCTAAAGGCGATTTTCAGAAGGAAATTTAACCACCCACCACCCCAGGCTGCACTTTGTTTTAAAGACCTTCAGCTCAGGCAATACTGGAACGCACATCCCGCCCGAAGGGAGCCCTGCCCTCCACTCCCCCCCCCCCTTTTTTTTTGGACCAGTTCTTGGGTCTTGGCACCGGTCTGCGGAGAGGGCCTGGGACCTAGAGAACATTATTGATATCTGATCTTGATTGCAGTAATGGGAACATTATTGATATCTGATCTTGACTGGGTAAGTGGGGAACGTTAGACGGAAGTTGACTAAGCACCAAGCGCCGCGTGCGCCGGGTCCCTTACATAAACCGCTGCCTGCGGAGTTTTCAGGTTGCTCTGTGTGAATTGACAGTTCACTTGAGTCCACGCTTAGCTGAAGAAGATTCCAGCTCCGCTAAGGTAGAACCTTCTCAGTCGCCGCTGCTGGAATTCGCGCCCGGTGAGAGAGATGTGAAGCAGGGGCTCTGATCTGTGCGTGTTTCCAACGACCAGGCACAACCCTTCTCTTTCTGTGGCCTGTTTCTAACTACTCGTCAGGTGAGCTGAGGATCCGCCGAGGAGGCATTCCCGGGACCCAGAGGAAGTCTGGGTCTTAAGCATATTCAGGTAGGTCTCGCTCTTCACAGGATCTCAGAGAATCGTTTTGAAAATGAAGTTCCCTTTGAAGACATCAGGGGCGTGCTGCTGTCATCTTAAATCTCTGCGGGTGGACAGCTCCGCGTGGTTCGGGGCTTTCTGGCGGTGGAAGGGAGCAGTTAGCGAGTGGTTCCTGCGTTCACGCCCACCTGCCCTGGGCGCCGAGGGCTTATCGCTCCCGCCATGGGAATCCATGAGGCACGACGCTGCAAAGCTCCCACCAAAGCTTACCTTTCAGTGGGAAAGACGAACATTAAACAATGGCCATAATAACGAAGACAGCTCTGTCCTATGAGAAGGTGACAGGGACTATGAGAAAAGAAACAGACTAGAGAAACAGACTAGGAGTTCCCAGGAGCAGGGAACAGGGGTGGAAATTGCGCTCGGCTACAGAGTGTCCCAAAAGTCACCTATAAAGAAAACTTTCCGTATGTAGGGAAAACGGGACATTGCAGCTATATATGCCTTTATTTACGCCAAAAGTCGCCCCCAACATCACCATACATAGGGAAAGTGGGAAACTGTAGCCAGATGCACCTTTATTTACAAAATATTCATTACAAAATTATACAAAGAGGTGGCCAACATAGTAGAGAATATTTTGTATGTATCTTGTAAGTACGTATTCACAAAATGTTTGACATGTTGCACACCTCTTTATAAAATCTTGTAATGAATATTTTGTAAATGAAGGTGCATCTGGCTACAATTTCCCATTTTGCCTGTGTATGGCAACTTTATGGGTGGCTCTCGGGACATCCTGTGTTAGCCATCACTGCCTGTCTGAAGTCTGTCACAGGAATAAGGTGCGTTGCAGACACATACCATATATAATTACAAGACTAACATAAACCTTAAATTCAAAATAGGTACTAATAAAAATGTGTAAATAATACACTTTTTAATATTAAAAAGCCTATTCCATTGCAAGAGGTTTTCCTTTGAGTATCCAACAGCCGGTGTCCAGAGTGCAGCACGCTCTATCAGTTGCACACTCACATTCCCCTCGTGCTGGTGTTGAGTCTAACACTTTGCATTCCCATTTAATTCTGGGTGCTGGAGTGGGGACAAGGGCCACGACGATAGCTCTGCCCTTCAGGAGCTCAGGAAGGAAATGCCCAGACCAGCCTACAAACTATTACAAATTAGAATATGACCGGGGTTGTGGGAGAGACAGGCAAGGCACTATGAGATACGGACAAGGTGGAAGGCGCGGAGGGGACTGGATGGGAGCTCACACTCAGTGGGGCCTGTGGGCGGGCTTTTGAGGGCTGGTAGAATGTAGAAGCAGATGTGGAGTGGGGTTCTGACAGATCAGCAAAAGCACAGCAAGAGCTGGGCAGGTGGAGGGCTGATTCCACGCCACGCAAAACCCTGCAGCATGTACTCGGGGTAGATTCCATTATCCCAGTGTTCAGATGAGGAAAATGCGGACCCCTCCTGAAGGTAAGATTCTTCCCTGCCTTCTGTTGTATGTCATTCCAGCTGTCATCCACTCTCCATCCCCAAGTGCTCACCTTTTTCTCACATTGAATTTTCTTGGGTTCCTCTCATCAGCTCACTGGCTTGACTCTCTCAGCATCCACTGTTTATATTTCCATTCTCTGTCACCCACAGAGAGGTCTGGGAAGCTTCTGGTAAAAGACCCAGACTCAGGAGTCACAACCTACACCAGCGGGGAGGTGGCAGAAAACACTTTCCTGAGCTGTGAGGACGGATTCTTTGCCTCTAGGCAGTTTCATCCTGATTCCTTGCGAGACCCTGGATGCCTAGCCACCCACTGGGGTGAAGGGTCGCTGCAGAGAGGGAAAGCAGAGAAGACTAATACAAAGGAAGCTAACTGACTGGAAGGGTCTGCCCCCCCCCCCCCGCCCCCATGGCTTCTTTTCTGCCAGGAGGTAGAAATGGTAAATATGTTTCCAGAATTTGAACACAGTGTTGCAATAAAGATAAGATGAATAGACAATTGCTTCCAAGGAAAGGTGATTCGTAGAATTCCTGACTCAATAAGATCATATTCACCACAATTAGGCTTATAATTGCTTTTACCCTAATCCTACTGCTTAAAACAAATAAGGCTAAATGTTGACTTTAAGACCGGATGTTCTTTCGAGGAAAAGCTTAAGGAATGCGGTGAAAACACTGTGTTAGTCTTCCTAGATAAGTGAGCTAAGGCTCTGGGGAACATGTAGGTTATCTAGGACTGAGCTGGGGCTGGAACTCAGATTTCTGAGCTCTGCCATTTCTGTCCTCCCTACTTGCCCCCAGAATCTATCCTTCTTAGGAGGAAATTTGAAATCAGTAATTGCTTAAGCATGGCCCATGCCGGGAATACTTCTACTCTGAAAGCTTCTAGGCTGTTATCAGTGCTGATAGGCGACACAGCCAGAGCACGTGGGAGAAGTCAGACAGGGTGGTGTGTGCTGGGAACAGTGAGGTGCCACCCACTACCCCTTACAGAACACCAAGGGGTTAGAGCCCCAGGTGGTCTCCATTTACAAGTGTTTAGCTCAGCTCAGCTGCTGGGAGTCTTGTGTCCTGATCACTCAGACCAGAGGCTCTAGGTCTAAGGTAAGCATGTTTCGTTCGTTTGTTTGTTTGTTTGTTTGTTTGTTGAGACAGGGTTTTTCTCTCTCTCTGGCTGGTCTCGAACTCCTGACCTCCAGTAATCCCCTGGCCTTGGCCTCTGGGAGTGCTAGGATTATAGGCTTGAACCCCTGTGCCTGGCCTGATCTAAGTTTTTAAGAAAAAAGAAAAAAAAAGTGCTAACCTTGATTGGAGGCAGCACCGATGTTTCAAATCCAGGAAGCAGAAACATCTAGAAATGCCCCACTTCCCGGGCCCAACAAGCCTGAGTTTGAGACTGGTCAGCATAAGCTGAGCATCAGATTGGTGGGTTTGGAGCTGGTTCCTCCTCTCTGCCTCACCCAGCCCCTCCCTGACTGTGGAAGCTACAACAAAACTGTGGAGACAGGGCAGGGGTGGCATCTGATGGCAAGTTAGGGGAGAAGTCAGTCCCCGTTTGCATAGATCCAATTTTACCCTACAAAAGTGGCCTGTCCTTCAGTTCCTTTGAGCCTGAATAAAGAGTCCATTTCTTCCTATAAGGTCTTGGAAACTCTCTTTATTAATACAATTTGAGCCAATAGCTAAAAGCTTAATTTTAGGTGTATTTTTGGTGGGAGAGAGATGACCATTGGTAAGTCACCTCACCTCTCTGGAGCCTACTTTATTGTAAATTAAGATTGTTGAAGCCCAACACTCTGGGAGGCTGAAGCAGGAGGATCACTTAAGGCCAGGCGTCCCAAATCTAAAAACAAAACCAAAAAAAAAAAAAATGTAGGCAGCTACTCAGTAGATGTGCATGGGCAGCTCCTTGTCTCTGTGTGCCAGACCCCAGGCTAGGTAGGCTGGGGGCAGGAGGATGAGGTGAGGGCCCTAGAGATTGTGCCCATGATGAAGCTGGCAGGAGGCCTGGTGTGAGTGTGCTCACCCAGCCCCACACCTCAGAGAAGGCTTCAGGAAGAGGTGAGAGCTGGGCTGAATTTTAAATAATTGGGCACCGTTTGAGTCACAGGTGCTCTACCTTTTTTCTCTGCTGGATATTGGAAGAATAGGAATTATCTTGGGCTATGTATTAAATACAAAAACACTAACGAAAGCTGATGAGTGGGGGAAAAATGGTTCATGCATACTTTTTGTGATATCTGACACCACATATAAGCAAAACAGGCCTCAAATTATCTGCGTATGGCCTGTGGGCCACCACTGGACACCCCTGATTTAGGAGTGGGCCAAGTTGCTATGGTTGCACTCCAAATATGAAAGGAACTCATTCTTATGGTCCCTTGGGCATGGGGAATGGAAGTAGTGAGTGGAAATAAAGAGAATCAGTGTATAAATTGATCTAGCAAGAAAGGGCATTGTGCAGACCCAAAATGATGCACATCACAAACTGAAGAGCATGTCAGCCTACCCCCTCACCTGAGATTTTAGAAAATTATGTGCATACATGTGTGTGTGTGGATTTTGGCCAAGATGTACGGTCTGATTTTTGGTTGCATTTTTCTTTTAAGAAGTTTTCCTAGGAAGTTGGCTGTCTAACAGGGGACCTTGAAGCCCAGGATGATCTTGTCCAATGCAACAGCTGCGACGCCCTTTCTGACCACGCTGTTGCAGGAGACGGTTCAGCAGGGCAGCAACATGTCTGGCCTGGCCCGCAGGGCTCCCTATCACGGCGACAGCAAGCTAGAGGCACTCTACGTCCTCATGGTGCTCGGCTTCTTCGGCTTCTTCACCCTGGGCATCATGCTGAGCTACATCCGCTCCAAGAAACTGGAGCACTCACACGACCCATTCAATGTGTACATCGAGTCGGACACTTGGCAGGAAAAGGACAAGGCGTACTTCCAGGCTCGGGTGCTGGAGAGCTACAGATCGTGTTACGTCTTTGAGAACCAGCTGGCTGTAGAACAACCCAGCACCCATCTTCCTGAGGAGAAGCCTTCACCATGAACCCCACAGCTGCCTAAAACTGGACAAATCCCACCTGACCATCTGATTTTTCTAATCACATGCCTCTTGTATTCTTTACCATATGGTTGCCATTGGCTTGCCTTTGCCTTTGTAAAGGGAGAAGGGTGGATTAATGATACTATTTTTCTAAATCACATTCCTTCTGTAATAGACCTTCAGTTATTCCCCTACATCTGTCCCTGTCTAATTTAGCAAAATCCTTCAGAATGTGGCCTCTGATAGTAAGAGCTGCATTTGCCAGACTCCCTTGCAGCTAGCAAGATCATGTGATGGACCCAGTAGACATGAAAATGATGACTACAGTTTCCAAGTAATCCCTAAAATGGAAAAGGACATTCCCTCTACTTGCCTTTCCTCCCTCCCAGTGTTGGGATGGTAAGTAGCTTTGACTCAGGGGAAGAACAGCATACTCACAAATGGCAGAACAGTAGAGTCTGGGTGACATCAGGGAGCAGGGTCTTCTACATCCCTGGACTATCCACTAGGTCAGACTTAGAGGAATAAAGAATGTCCTCCACTCTTCCTCAAGACACTGTTACTTTGTTTGCTGTTAAAGTAGTAGAATCAACGTCCTTACTAATACATCTGCCTTAGAGACTTAAGCCAAAGGTGTGACATGCCATATTTGTCACAAGCCCACACCACTTCCCCTTGTCCCTTCTGTGCTCACTGCCGTGGCTCTGTCCTCCTCCCACCCTCTGCCTTTCTCCTTCCTTACACTCACCTTCATGCATTTCTCTCAAACAGACACACACACTCCTCCTGCTCACACTTCTCAATCTAGAAGGAACTTGCTTCCTACAGGGTTGAGATGGAGGAGAAGAGATTCCCCTTCAGCATCTATACCCAGGGCACAGGTGCTCTGTTATTGCAGAAGCAGGGCGAGGTGCCCTCACCCCCCAGAACCTGGGAGAGGGTGTGGCAGTGGGGACACCTAGCACTGCACTGAGGTGGCAAGGCCTTTGAGGCAGTAGGCCTACTTTGTGGATGGAATTATACCCCCTTGAGAAATAGTTGAAGTCATAACTTCCAGTACCTGTGAATGTGGCCTATTTGGAAATAGGGTCTTTGTAGATGTTCAAGCTAAAATGAGGCCACTGTGGTGGGACCTGCTCTAAGAGGACTGTTAGAAAAGGAAACATAGACCCAGACAAACAGGGAGAACATGATGTGGTGACAGAGGCAGAGACTGTGCCCACAGATGGAAGGCCACCAGACGCTGGGGAGAGGCCAGGAGGGCTCCTCTCCTGAAGGCTGTGGAGGAAGCACCTCCCTGCTTGATCTGACCTCAGGCCTCCAGAACAATGAGCAGCTGCTGTGACAGCCCCTTGTATGGGCCACTTTGCTCTGGCAACCCCAGCAAGCTCATGAGGCGCCCCTCGCCCACCCACCCTGAGCGAGCTGCTCTGCCTCCTGGTGTGGTCCCTACAGAAGCTGCTGGTGGCATGCAGAGAAGACCTGACCTCCATTAGTGGAGGCCTGGAGAGGGTCACAGAGAACCAGCTCCAGTGCCATCTTGCTTCTCCCAAGGTGATGTGCAGTGTCAGGGCTTTCTGCAGTGTGACATCCAGAAGGCTCAGCTGCCTAGGCATTCCTGAAGACTGTGGCTATTCAAATTAAATATAATTTTTTAATGTAATGTAAATTTAAGCAGCCCATAAGCATCGTCGGCCATCCTCAAATGGACAAAGGCAAGTTAGTGCGGTTCCAGGTCTCACTGTGTGTAAGAAACAGTGACTTCTCTATGCATGCTTGGAGGCATCTGTGGGGCAGACCCCGGCAGGGTCCAGTCTCTGAATGACTACAGTCATCAAGATGAGTGGTTCTTTGGGTCAGAGTCCCTTAAAAATCCAGTAAAAGCTATGATCCTCCCCAAACCCGAATAATGCAGAGACACCACATTTTACCTACTGTATTGGGGGCCCATGGGCCACTGGAACCCAGTTATGGCTGCTGGCATCCCCTGACCTCCATGGGGGACACAACTGCTCTGGACAGAGGCACGTGCAGAAGGAAGTTCCCTTCAGAAGGAAGGGACGTTTGGAGAGGGACCCAGGGCACATGTGACCCACAATGTGATCCTGGGCACAGCACGCAGACTTGGATATTCCAGGCACACAGGCTGGCTTTTATCAGCACTTCACTTCCCCCCACTAAGATTCCTGTGCCTTTTAAGGCAGAGGGAGATCCCAGGGGCTTTATTCCTCCCTGCCCTTGAAGGGCCCTTCTCCACACGCAAACCTCTAATCTCTCCCCTTCCCTTCCCCTTGATTTTGAAGGACAAGGAGGAAAAAATTAAACCATCTTCAGATGCTTGTTACCACATTTTAAAATTTGGTTTCACATGCATACAATGTTCACTATGTGCCATGTACTGTTCTAAGCTCTTTAAAAATAGAATTTCAGTTATTTGCAGGCAATGCTTTAGGCATTCATTAGATAGGACAACAGGGCTTTTTGCAATATTAAGATTTTTTAAAAAAATTAAAGCTGTTTATCACAATCTATGGTGTGTGTTCTCTTAATATCACTATGTTACTTCTAGAAGATAGAGATCAGTTCTTGGGGGACTCTGATGAAGCAGCCCCAGGGGGTTAGGAATGACAAAAGTAAGATTGCATGTAGATAATTAAACTCGACATCAACAAGGGGTCTCAGCAGAGAGATACAGGCCCCTCCAATGCCTGCAGATAGAAATCAAGCCACCCAAGCCCTAGATGGAGGCAGGGGCAAACTGTACAGTCCTCCCCACCCCTTGCAAAGGAGAGGCTGCTGTCAGCTCCTGACATCTGCAGCCAGCAGGGAATGTGGACACAGTTGTGATGGCCCTCTGGATATTATAAGAGAATCTGTGATAGCTCTTCATGTTTACCTGTTGGCAAATAATTTTTAAAAACTGTATAAGCCAAACAGAATATGACCTTGAGCAGGATCCTGCCCAAAGACCACAGACCAATAATCTCTTCTTTAGAGAGAAAGAATAGCTCCCTGCCAGACCCAGGCCACACCTGAGAAGAAACAGGAACTGAATCAGAGGGCAGACCCTGTTCCACCAAAGTGACAGAAACAGGCACTTCCCCCAGGTGAGGTCCTGGGCCAAGGGACCCAGAGGTCCCTACCCCATGTGGAAAGCTGCATCAGGCTTGCTTGCCTAATGCATGAGACTGTCCCACTTGTCTGACCCTCCCATGCAGACTCCAGGCCCCTTGCTCTCTGCCACTGTAGGGCAGGACATTGCAACTCTGATTTTCCTCTGTGTACAAGGAAACAAGTTAGGTATTGTGGGTCTGCCCTAGAAAGGTGGACCTACCCCATGTGCAGACGAAGTAGGCCTCCAAGCCTCCCACAGGGCCAAGGGCTGATGTGTACCAGAATCAGTTAGCCAACGTGGAGAATATCATTCCCTGGAGCCCCCAGCCTGTCCAGTAAATGGCTTTCAACTGCCCTAGCATGTGCCACGTGCAATATCCTGCACGGTGGCTTTGGAGAGTTCTGTGAGAGTTAAGTAGATATAACAGGGGAATCTGAGATTCAGTGAGAGTCAGGGATACACCCAAGGTCAAGGTCACTGGTTGCTTAAAGAAGGATTCCAGCCCTCACTCTCTTCCAGCTGTCTCCTCACGCCAAGGGCTTGGGGAGGTAGGGAAGTAATGACAGACTGTCTTGGAAAGATCATTGCCATTGGCCACAAGAGCAAGACTTAGCACTGCGGGGGCATGTGGTGACCCCAATTTTGTTGATTTTATTTTTCCATTTTTAAAAAATTATACATAGTATCATTTAATAATACCAATTTATTCTCAAAATGACCCTAAAATCATATACATTATATGCTCAGATACCTGCTTAGAAAGACATAAAATAGCCCAGCCTATGAACTAGGCCATTACAAAATAAATTACAAATCAGAGTGAGCCAAAAAGAAGCCAAATTGAAAGTGAAGAGACTATGAAATGAAAGATAGTAGAACCTCAGTAAGTTGACCACCGAAGGGACTGAAACAAACTGGCCAACATACAGAGGTGGCCAAAAGAAGGAACTAGCCTACTGTACCCACGTGTGCAGGGGGTGCATGTCCAGTCTATGAAAACTAGGTCAACTAAAGAAGGTGGGCGATGCAGGGATGTGGTCAATTATGGAGATTCTTCTGTATTGCCTTTGCCATTACCTCTGACCTTTACTTCCCCTCAGGACACTACTGGAGCTCAACAGCGTCATACAAGAGTTAGAGGTCAGCTAACAGGCCAGGAAAACTGTTATGGATTCCATGATCCCTGAGTCTCCAGGCAAAGTCGTGTGAGTGCAGAATAATGCACACAGCTCTCCTGAGAAGAAGCCATATCTTTAATCCAATAAGCAGGTGACTTCCCTGCAGGCACAAGAGAGACACAAATACTGAAAGAGACAGGAAGGATAAGGAAAGTCTACCAGGATTTGTAGACAAAAGAAATGTACACAAAGCTAGGAATGGATTGATAAGGATTGGTAAACTCCTTAAGTAAGCAGAGTCATTGGGTACATAAAACAAATTAAACAGAAAAAAATCAGGGGATTTGGAGCCCCTCGAGTGCCTACCTGAGGTCAGTAAGGCAATAGTATCACAGATATTTCTACACTACTAACGCTGGCATTTGTCCGTCTGCAGGTGCTTCGGATGCAATTCTGGGTGCGGCTGCCCCCTGGTGGTCATTTGGGGGATGTTTTTGTTTCGCGTTGCACGGGGAACCCCGGGGACCTGGGCGGGCAATCAGGGGCCTGCAGGGCCTGTGGGAGGCCCTAAGCGACTGTAGACACCCTTGGGGAGGCTAGACTTATCCTCAGCGGTCAAGGTCAGGGAGACAGGACCCTCCCATGGGCTCTGCTATAACATGGGAGGGGGAATGCGGAGAAGGGAAGTTTTCTTCTGGATTAAAAGTACACTGTGAGGCAACTGCTCTGAACAGGGACCCTGGAGGCATACATAGCTCAGCATTCTGAGA